TCACAAGAATATTAGGCACTTACATGATGCTCACTGGGTTCAGGCACTGTTCCAAGCACTTTACACATATAAACTATTAATTCCCATCATAATTCCATGAGACAGGCACTATTTTTAACTGAGTCTGTAGATGAGAAAATTGAGATACAGAGAGGTTAAGTAACTGGTTTTGTCTACTAAATGTAAAGTTAAGATTTGAACCCTGGTAGGGCTCATTCCATCTCTTAAGATCTTCACTATATTCTATCTCTTGAGAATTAAGTGTAAATTGTGTTGAACTGGAAATTCTATATCCAGCCAAACTGACCATTAAGTGTGAAGGGGAAAAAAAAATCACCTCAGACACTGAAGGACTCGTATGAATTTCTTGCCATTCTTTTCTGAGAAGTTATTTGAATACATATTTCAGCCAAATTGACTTGGAAAAAATGAAGGATAATGTTTTAGGATTAAAAATTGATAGAATTAATTCAAAGAGCACAGGAATTTCAGAATGAAACCTTTGAAAAAATAAGAGCAGAGACCTAGAGAGAATGACATCAGAAAGAAGAAAGGAAATTGATTATAAGAAATATATAAAAGGAGGCTGTTAAGTTTTAAGAGTATGGTGAAGAGGCCTATGTCTTTCTTCCCAAAACAAGCAAGGGAATCCAAAATAACAAGGGATAAGGAGGAAGAAAAGAAAACTTCAACAAGAAATGAATAGTTCAAACATGAAGCCAACTAAAATTGGACATAATTTGGAAGAATTTGTAGATAGTAAGAAAGGAAAATCCATTCACATCGATACCAGAAGGATTTTCCCGTGAGAGGCAGAGGAGTCGTGATCCTATAGCCCTAGAGAAGGAACCGAAGTCACTCAATCTACTCTTTTGGCTCATAAGAACAAAGTTACGGCATCAACAGAATGTAAACAAGGTGCCGTTTTGTTTTTGTTTTAATGGATGAAATAGGAAAGTTTAAATAATAGGTATAGGGTAGAAGCAAAGGTGATTCACCTTGAGAAGATAAACCGAAGAAATAAGAAATTAAGAGGCAGAATGGAAATGGAGGAGAAAATAGGGATGCCAGTATCTTCATCTTACCAAATGTCCCCAGATTAGAAGTGTAACAATAGTATTTAAGTTCACAAAGTTAAGCAACAGAGAGACTAAAATAGGGACAAAACTAGCAAAAACTGGGCAGGGAAAGGGTGTTAGAGACGAGGAATAATTAGCTGCTCATTGGCTGTGGCTGAGCATGAATCCATAATGGCAGGTTGACCCCACATACTGTTCTGCCCAGGAAGGTCCCATTTTATACCTGTTGTTCTGTGCAATTATGAGTTTTGTTCTTCTCACTTTCAACAGTTTCCTGGTTGGAAGATTAATCATTTGCCATCTTATCTAAACTTGATAAATCAAGAAGTATCGGTATAAACACATGACATGTGAAAACCACCAGAGGAAGTAAAATAAAAACTGTTAAACATGATGCCTCATGGGGGTGAGAGGGAGGCAGAATACATTTTTTTTGTTTTGTTTCTGATTTTGTTTTTATGATACTAGAGATTGAACTGAGGACCTCACACATGCTGGGCAAGCACTCTACCAGTGAGCTATACACCCCCAGCCCTTTTTATTTTTTATTTTGAGACAGGGTCTTAAGAAGTTACTGATTGTCTTGCAAAATTGCTAAGGCTGGCCTCAAACTTGAGATCCTCCTGTCTCAGCCTTCCAAGTCACCCGGATTACAGGTATACGCAAATGCGCCCAGCTGCAAGATATATCCGTCACAACTCCTCCAACTGCACAGTTTAAATGTGTTCATTTCACGGCATATAAATTATGCTCAATGAAGTTGATTCAATATGGTGGTCTTTGGGCAGCAGGGGTAGTAGATAAGAAGTCATTTGGCTTTTTTTTTTTTTTTTTAGTTTTAATAACATATTTTTACTTTGGCAAGATTCCCAAAAATGTACATTAAAAACTATTTTTAAAACAGACTTCTTTGTGAGGTGCTGGATAATGACTAAGGTTTTTACTGGCTTGGGTACTCCCGGAGGTTTTAGGTCAGAATTGGGGAGGAGGATGTTTCCTCTGAGGCTCCTTCTGCCTCTTCTGCACAAAAGAGGGGTTCGAGAATTGATTGTTGGTTCTCATTAGATTCTCCTGGGGGCACCAAAAAGGTTGGGCCCAACCCCAAGAGATTCTGATATGACCAGTATTTGAAAAAGCCCCCTTGCTGGTTCTCACTGGCAGCCAGGCTAAGCACTACTGAACTTGGTGAGGGAGCCCTAGGCTAGTATGAGGAATTCAAGATGGCGGACAGTGGTTGAGCTACTGATATGGTGAGGAGAGTCACCTAAGCATATACCCTCTTCTTACAAGTGGGGAAACTATGACCCCCTGGGCCCGGGAAGAAGTGGCTTGCCTAGGGTGCAGTGGTGAGGCATGGCCTTGCTGAGACTGGAGCACAGGTGTCTGACTCAAGGACGTGAAACAAGAAGGGCAGTAATGGAAATACAGGGATCCACCAAGCTCCTGCTGCATACCAGGCTCTATGCCAGGCCCAGTGTGACTCTCCTCCTTCAATTCTCCCGCCATCCATCATTGCACTTTAACTAAGAGCTGCTAGAGATGTCCAATGACTCACCTTATCTTGTGCTACTCTTGCTGGGTTCTAACCTGGTATTTCTCAAGATGTATCCCTCAACAATATTTTCCTCCAAATTTCCTGGAATGCTTGTTACAAATGTGAATCCTGAGCCATGCCCTAGACCTTGGAGTCAGAATTTCTGGAGGTGGGAACCAAGAAGGTTCAATTGAACCTGTGTCTTGGGTGGTTCGTGAGCCCCCAAACCACTGAGCGTCCCCACTCACAGGGTGTGTCTTTGTGTCTCTACAGTGGGCCAGTCTCTCCCACCTGTTTAGCTCTTCACAGTAGCCATTGCTGAGGTCCTTAGGATGCCCTTATTTCCATGGCATCTTACGGGTCCTCCCTGAGGACAGGGACCACGTCTCTGTCCATAGTGTGCCCCTGCTCCAGCACCAGTGCTGGTCACGTGGAAGGTGCTCAGTGAGCCACACTGCCTGGGGGACGGTAGGAAGCACCAGGCCCAGCACCCAGCAGGTCTCCTTACCCAGGACCTGGCACACGCAGCTGCGTCCAGGTAGAGAAAAGCAGTTTCCCTGCATCATCACTGCTCCCTGTTTTCCAGGTAGCCCTAAGCCTGACCTCAAGGTTTTGGGTCAGGGGTCATTCTCTCTCCTGCTGCTCTCAGAGTCACAGAGAAGGTCTGGGAGCAATTTGAAATGAAAGCTGTCTGTGGCAGGGGACAGGTAGGCCCAGGACCCCACTTCACCCTCCTACTCCGGGAGGTTCACGCTGATCTCCCAAACTTCTGATGAGGAAACCAAGTTTGTGTGTCTAAGGGTCTTGCCCAGTCACTTCCCTGGGAATGGTGGAACTGGCGTCTGAGAAAGGATCTATCTCATTTCAAAGCTGGGTCCTCACCATGCCAGGAACAGAAAGAATGTAAGGGCAGAAGGGAAGGGGCTGGGGCCAGCTGTCAGCAGCTGACCCTGATGGAGGTGGCTCTCTTCAACTGGGTTGTGGCCGGTTGAAACAGCAACCCACGTGTCCCCTGGGGCACAAATCACTTCTTTGGACATTAATGACCTCTCTTAAGTGTGAGGAATCCCCAACAGTTCTCCACTGATTATTGGGTCTGAGGTCCTTAGACAGGCAGTGAAGACCCTGGGTGACGGAGCCGTGGCCACCTTTCCAGAATCATCTCCCCCAAAAGCTGTGCTCCAGCATGTGAACATGCCTGCTCCTTCAGGCCCTACCACAACTGGCTCCCTGCGTGGGACGCCTGTCAAGATCTAAACCACCCAACACGTTCAGCTCAAATCTCAACCCTCAGATCCCTGTCTTTAATCCTAACATGAAGAAGATACTAGACTTGTGCTCATTTCGCGGATGAAGGAATTGAGGATGGAGACCCTCAGTGGAGTCAGGGATCCGAAGGCACCAGAGACTTGGCCTCACAGACCCTCTAGACTCTCTCTCAAGCTGGGTGTGGTGGTGCCCTCCTGTATCTGTAATCCCAGCTACGTGGGAGGCTGAGGCAGGAGGATCAAAGGCCAGTCTGTCTCAAAAAAATAAAAACAAAAACCTCTTCCTGGGACAAAAGAGAGATGTTTGCTCCATTGTCAGAATTGACCCTAAGGAGCCCGGCTCCTGTGAAGGGGGTTGTCAATAAAACCCGCAGGACTAATCCCTGAGCCCTGAGGTGGTCCCCGGGCCTGCAGGCCTGCCCTACCTTTGATGAGACACCCCGGCTTGTATGTTCTGGTCTAGGGGTCTCACTCACCTATCTCCATTCTCCCAGCAGGGGAACAGCTGCTGTGTCCTTGGGTTCCTGGGGGGTGAGTGGGAAGCAAGCAGAAGGAGAAGAGTGCAATTGGGGGCTGGTTTGGTGGCCTCTGCTCCTGCAGGCCCTGTCCTGGGTCCTGCTGTCTGTGCCTCCTGTTGGCCTCCTGTCCTCCCTGTTCTCAGGATCTTGGCCCCTTCAGACTCCCTTCCTTGATCCTTTCTGCCCTCTGGAAGGTTGGAACTTCGCCTTCAACCACCTCTGTGCCTCTGCCCCTCCTCACCTGCCCTATGCAGCTTCTAGAATCTTCCTTCCCACCAAGCTTAGCCTTAACGGCCTGCTGCAGGCTAGTTTGGGACCCCTCTCCTGCCCTTCCCAGGAGATCTTTACAAGGCAGTGAGAGCTTAGCAAGGAGGAATGTGTTGATCATGGTGGAATTTCGGGCATCTGGGAGTCAGACTCCTCTGCAGCCTCTGGCCTCCCAGGCTCCAGCAGACCAGGAATTTGGCAAGTTAGGAGGTGGCAGATTTAAATATTCTCTGTACCTAGAGGCTAGGGGAAGGCGTGTCCTTTGGCAGCACGCAGGTCTGGCTTCTTTTCAGCTCATGGAAAACTACTGGGACCAAGAGGGATGGGCCTCTGGCGAGGACCTCAGTGGAGTCCGGTGAGTCATGGGGCTGAGCAGAGCAGTCCCAGGCATTCAGACAGCCACACCTTCTCTGTTCTGATGGCTTCCTCTAAGACTGGCAGTTGACAGAAGAGCAAGCACCTTGGTAAGTAATATTTCATAGCAGGGGTGACAAGGTCACGGCCTCAGGTGAGGCAAACACAGAGCTTGGAACAGGCTGGAGTAAGCGCTAGGGAGTGGTGGGGACTGCAGCAGCCGGGGAGTCCTGATGTGCTTCCTGTGACTCTAATGAAAATGAACATTCTGACCCTCAGGCAGACTGTGTGCCGGCCTCGGCTAATGCATTACAGGATCCAAAGCTCTTTCCATGTGGTTTTGTTGAATTATTATTTCCTTTCTTCCTGACAGTAATGATTCCCTCTTGGCAGGTGAGGAAAATGAGTCTTAACAAGGTTAAGCGGTTTTCCTAGACTCATTTCAGGCAGTGATTTCTGGGAGGTGCCCTGAAGCTTCTCCAAGAGAGGTCTCCCCCCTGATTCTTCACCCATGGTCAGATTTGGAGGTTGAAATACACTGTCCTCCGAGTCAGTCAAAAGAATGGTGCTCAGTTCTGACTCAGGATCCTCCTTCAACTCCCCACATCCAGCCTCCCCTCCCCACAAATGGGAGGCTCCCTGTCCCCGAGGGGACATGCAGAGGGCTCACGTGGAGGTTCATCTTGAAGGCCCAGAGGAGTGTGCATTGTTGGTAGAAAGACGCCCAAAGGGGTTGAGGCCTGGAGAAGGCAGCGATCTGACAACCTCCCACCTGCCTGCGTTCCCTCACAGGAAAGAGCAGCTAGTCCTGGAGCCGTGGCCTTGAGGTCTGCATCCAGACCTGCCCTGTCGGCGCCTCCTTTTTCCTCCACGATACAGTGCTCTCTAAGTCATGGTAACGGTTCCAGGTGCTGTGTGCACAGACCTAGTTCTCGGTGTGCAATCCCACGAAGTAGGTGCTATCACTTTGCTTTCACAGTGAGGAAACCGAGGCATAGCATCTGCTTCTGCTGAACTTGGAAATTAAACAGGAAGTATAAGAGTCAAAAGCTGCTTCTCAGTCCCTGCCTAGTAAAAACCATCCATCCATCCATCCATTCCTCAGGCCTGTTTCCAGGCCCTGGGCTGGCATTCTGGCAGGGCATGTGGGTCTGGAAACCAATGACTGTGAACAGTATGGCCCATGACAGTGAGAAATGGCATATAAGAAATACAGACTGCAGGAGCCCATGGGGTTCTGGAGGGGGTCTGGGAAGGCTTCCTGGAGGAGGTGGCACCAGGCAGATGGACATTCCAAAGTGTGTATAGCAGATGCAAAAGCCCAGGGTGGGTATGAGTCATGTCACACTGGAGAGGACCAGGAGGTCAAGTGCGGCAGGGGGCAGGGGAAGGGCTAGCTCAGGATTGTATCATAGGCCAAGATGAATGTTAGAATCCTATCCTGCAGCAATAAGCCTGGAAAGAGCTCAATGAGAGGCTATCTGCTTTAACTTTTTGCACTCAAAAATTTTAATAGATTCAGGATCCAAAACCCATGAAAGGTATATAGTGAGAAGTTTCCTTCAACCCTGTCCAGCCCCAGATTCCCTTCTAATGGCTGGTCTCCAATTTTTTGTGTGTTCTTCCAGAGATATTTTGTTTTATGCCTTCATAAACTAATTCCTCTCTCTCTCTCTCTCTCTCTCTCTCTCTCTCTCTCACTCACACACACACACACACACACACACTTACTCACACACACACACACACACCCTTCATCATGCATCTTTGCACCTTGGGTTTTTTTTTTCCTTAAGAATACTCCTTGGTGATCTATTTAGTATGGTTGTGTCACGTTCCACGGTTAAGAGGAACTATAGTTAACCCTGCCCCCATTGATGGATGTTCTATTTTTTCTAGTCTTTGGTTCTTACAATAAGTGTGTAATAAATAACTTTGTACATGTCATATCTCCCATTTGCAAATAGACCTATAGAAAAAAAAATGGCTAGAAGTGTTATTATCACAGAAAAGGGCATATGCTGTGTCATTTGTATTTTTTTGTAATTAAATTTGTATTGCAATTCAAGTTTAGTTCATGGAAAATAAAATGCCCATGCAGTTCAATAAATTTTGCCTGTGTACACACTTGTGTTAGCATCACCCAGATCAGGGGACAGTTCTGTAGAATGTTTCCAGCCCCTTCTCATGCCTACTCCTGGTGGGCACCATCCCTCCAAGGTAATCTACTGATCTGACCTCCATCACCTCAGATGGGTTATATGTTTCTAAATTTTGTATAAATGGAGTCATGAAGAATGCACGTCTCTTTGTGTCTGGTTCCTGTTCTCACTACTGTCTGTGAGACTCAAACATGTCACTGTGTTCAATCATGGCTCCTTTGTTTTCGAGGCAGGTTGCTGATCCATTGCACAAATGTACCACAATCTATTTATCTGTTCACCTATTGACATACACTTAGGTTGTTCCCTAGTTTAGGTTATTATAAAGGATGCTGATATATATATATATATATATATATATATATATATATATATATATATATACACACACACACACATTGTTTGGAGGGATAGTCATGAAAGCTCATTTCCACTAGTTAAACACCTAGGAGTGGAATGGGTGTGTGCATCTTAAGTTTTTGATGGATATTGCCAGATCACCTCCATAGAGGCGGAACATCATAAAGAAATGCCTGTCGCCTTGTTTGACACGTGATAACTCAGCTGAGCATAGGGCCTGGGGTAAAGTCCACACTCAGGGATCAACTGTCCCCTGATCTGGGTGACGCTTACACAAGTGTGTACATGGGCAAAATTTATTGAACTGCATGGGCACTTTATTTTCCATGAACTAAACTTGAATTGCAAAAAATACAATAGTAGTAATACTAGTAGTGATAAGAAAATGCTTTGTGAGCCCTGGAGCCCCCTCCAAGCCAGACTGTGACTTTGCCAAAATACCTCATTGAAAGGATCAGTGAGAGTAAGGGGGAGCCAGTGAACCCACTCCCACCCCAGAGGGCTGTCTCCAATGACTAACAACAGCCCCTTTCATATCTGCAGCTCTCTGGCCTTTCTGAAGCACTTTGACATGACACGCACCAATGGATCTCATCCCAGGCTCATGTTCAGATTCTCTGGGGAACTTTCCAGAAATATCAATGCCAGGTCCCCACCCCCAGGATTCTTAATTAATTAGGTTGGGGTGGAGCCTGGGCATCAGTCTTATAAGTATCCCAGATAGTCCCAGTGGGAAGCCAGGGCCCAGAACCACTCTGTCCTGTATTACCCAGAACAACCCTCTGAAATGGGAGGGACTGGTCAGGTGCAGGGGTGGGGCAGAGGGAGAACAGATGGCCAGTAGTTTTGACAGTGTGACAAAGATACTTTGCTCTGGCCAGGAGCAGGGCTGGAGCCGTGGTCCTGATCTGATTCAATATTGAATGAGAAAGGCATCAGGATCATTCCCATGGAAACAGGGACAGGTGAGGGGGTGGATGCCCACCCAAGGCCTCCTGGCTGGGTTGGAAGCCAGGGAGTCTCAGTAGAAGCAGGCATGAGGGTGGCCGTGCCCCCAGTTAGGCCCAGAAAAATAGACTAAAGGCAAAGAGAGCAGAGTGGGAGTGGTGGATGTCTTCTGCTGCTGGCTTGGGGTGGTGTTTTCTTCCATGTGCCCTCTGCAGGGTTCAAGTTTTCATCAGTGATCTGGATTATGCTTATGATCACAAGCCAACGAATCCTTTGAAGTTGTTGAAGTCAATAGCATTACTGTTTTCTGGAGAAGAAAACTGAGTCCCCGAGCTAAGTGACAAAATTCATGCCATTCCTGTCTCCTGAGTCCCACGGAGTGCTGGAGACTTCTTAGGAAGTGACAAGTGTGTGACCTTTACCTACAGGATGTGGCTCCCGGAAGATGTGAGGAGATGTCCCCAAGGAAGAATTGCTGTCTTAATTGTCTTAATTGGCTTATCCATACTCTTGTAGAATAGCCAGTGTATATCAGAAAATGAAAATAAAGCAAAATAACTGGAAGCCTCATCACCCCCACATGCAAAGTGGGGAATTGGGGTGGGGTGGGGACTATTCTTTCCGATGAGTCCCTGTCCATCCATATTCATATAGATCTAGATAACCATAATTTTTACCCGTGGATCATGCTGTAAGCATGCAGTTTTGCAACCTCCTTTTTTAGCTCAATCATGTTTCATGTGTGTGTCAACGAATAGAGATACACATCAGTCCTGGAGTGGATGCATAGCACTGTGTATAGACGTGCCTTCAAATATTTAGCTTGTCTCCTGGTGACGGTCCTGTGGGTTGTTTCTAACCACATCTTGTTTGAACTGTGTTGGAAACTGGAGATTCCGATATAGACCCATGAAAATCTTGGGACTACATTGTTTTTGTTTTCAGTGTTTTTTTTTTTTTTCTTGGTAGGAAGAATAGGGGCTGAATTTGGGTGTGAGCGTGTGTGTATGAGTGGTGTGTGTGTGTGTGTGAATGCAAATGTCAAATTCATGGGTGGAATTTGATTTAAATAATTCTATTTAAACACTGTTACCCCACAGAGATCTTATCAAGCCCTCTTTCTCTTTCTTTCACTCACGTGCATTTGCAGGTAAGATGTGGTTGCCAATCTTCTTGGGCAGGGCCGGCCCAGCTACCTGATGAGGCCTGCAGCCAACGGCCAAGGTCAGGTGCTGTCTGCAGCTTGAGCTCTGGGCCCACAGCTTGCTCTTAACAAATTCCTGTGAGCAATGAGAGTGTGCGCAAACACGCGCGCACACACACGATCACCAATCTCATTCTCCCTGCATGCAAGGTGTGGGACGGTAATGGAATCTGCGTGTCCAGAGGCGGGCATAATTGAATGGCTGAGGGCATTAAGTCCTTGATTAAACTGGTTGTTCATTTGAAGGGACAATTAACCCAGCTAATATTCCAGGCCAGCCCAGCAGGTCCATCCCCATCAAAGGACATATTGAGCAGATAATGAAGTGGCTGCCTCACCTTGCTGGAGGAGAGTGGGGCTCCAGGGTCCTTACCAAGGCTCACTGCTCAGGCAAAGCTAGAGGCCATGGACATTTCAAAGCAGAGACTCTGAGTTCACCTAACTGATGTGGAGTGGTCTTAGCTCGAGTCTTTGGCTGATAGAGGGTGTTCCATCTGGGGCAGTTTTCTCACAGATGAAATGCCCTCCCTCTGTGATTTCATTGCATCTGCATACGATATCTGGAGCTTCAGTAGCCATGATGCCACCGTGCGGTGATGTCTTTGGCTCTGCTTCTCCTCTGGGCCTTTTGCTTTCTCACAGATTTCTTATTGTTTAAGCCAATTACAGTGGGTTTCCTGTTTCCAGCAGTAGGAAGCATCCTGATTGGTAAAATGAGCCTTCTTTCTTGGAGAGATGGAGGTGAGGAAGGAGGACACTGAAGGATCCTCTTCCCTTTCCTCTTCTGTGCCTGATGCCCAGCCACTGGGTAAGGTCTCCCTGAGAGCAGGCACTTCCCCAGTACCTAGCTCCTAGAGGCCTCTATCCACTAGCTGTACTCGTTTTGGCCCTGAGGGGCCAGCAACCCAGGTGACTCTGTTGAGAGAGTGGATCTAGTGAGCCAGGGCCCAGCTCCTGAGATATTTGGGACAGACAGACTGGAGGAGAGCAAGAGTGAGCAGGAACAGAAGTAGGGGTGCAGCTTGGAGGGCAATCCCAGCTCCGCAGGAAGAGCAGACTTAATCCCGCAGGAAGCTAGTCTTTGTGCTGGGCTTGGCCTGCACTGCCGATGTCAACCATCCTTACCGTGAACGCAAGGTAGGTACCCTTACCCACTGACAGACAAGGAAACTGAGGCCCAAAGGGGAAGAGTCTTACCCAAGGCACACATTCAGGGAGGTGGAGGCAGGGTTAAAACTTAAGATTGTGCGAGCCCAAAGTTCTTAAAGCCAATTTAGGCATCGATGCACTTGGTCAGCCGGCGTCTGTCTTCCTGTGCATTCTACAGTATTATCTGGTCCATTCTGTACCAGGCTCTCTACCGAGTCCATGGTAAGGTGATGACAGCCATGTCACTGCCTTCTTTGTGTGCTGAGTGGGCAGAACAGGCTGGGCCCATGTTCTGACTGAGGGTCAGTATCCTAATATCACCCACAGGCAGGATTTAAGAAGGCATGGCCTCGATTCTGAGCCCCTTTGAAATGTTCTGAGCCAGGAGAGCACAGCCCCTGTGCTGGGCTTGAGTCGTGGCTTCATATACTTACTGTCTGTGTGACCTTGAGTAAAGTGCTCCCTCTCTGGGGTCCCAATTTTCTCATCTGCAGAATTTGGATAAAAATGTCCTGTGCTTTCTTCACAGGGGTGTTGGGAGCACAGTGGGAAATACTCAGAGAGCTTGGTGAACTCCAGCGTTCCAGGCAGATATCCAGCCAAAATCCATTCTCCCCATCTTTGAGGATGTGGTCTTCTGCTTTTGACGTCATCAGTCAGTCTCAGATAAGTAAGTAAGCTTTAAAGCTTACTTGTCATGTGTTATGGACCTGCTCTGGGGACCTCCTGGGACCTCACATGTGCCTGTGTGGTAGCGCTCCTCGCATTAGGGAAGCAAGGCCAAGGCCCAGAAAGGTTAGGTGGCAGGCTGAGGTTGCACAGCCGCAGCCACTGGTCCATGGCCCTGCCCCCGACACCACTGTGGCCACCTGTGCCAGGAGAGGAACTGCTGTTGACTCAGGTGCTCCTTGGAGTGTGCTACAGCTCTTCCGCAAGAGGGCATCAGAGAGGGCCAGGCTTTCTTCCAGAGATGAAGGAGTGTGGCTGCGACTCCCCAGTGACTTGGGGCTGGAACAGCTTGTCAGGGTTGGAGCAAAGCAGAGTTTAAGTTTTATGACTCATAGGAAAAGGGACACCTCATCCCCCGGGTCTGCAGGAGCAAAACCTGTGCCTGCTCCTCCTGTGAAGTATTCTTCTGTTAAGGGCTCCTCCCGAAGGTACCCTTGAGGGGTTATTTTCCAGGAGGCCGCCTTGGGAGTCCCCTGCACCCTGGTGCTACAGAACTGACCTTGGCCTTGAAGGAGACATTCACTGAGGACTTCACGGGAAGCAGCAATACCTTGTAGCCTTCCTCTGGCTTCCATTAAACCTGACCCCTCTGTGGGTTCTGGCCATTTCTTTGGCTTGAAGATCTTTGGCTGCTCCTTTCTGAATAGAAAATGATGGAGGAAGCCCCTGCACCTGCCCTGTGTCACCTACCTGTTGGTCTTCCAGGAAGTGAAACATGAGGTCATAAAGCGTAAGGAGACGGGAAGCAAGAAGAGAGTATATTAAACCTTAGGCCTTACAGACAAGAATAAAATGGAGTCCACATTCCCTGCCCTTCCATAAAATAAAGACTCTGCCTTCTGTATATGTGGGTAGCAGGACCCTTGGTGTATGCATACAGGTGACTTCCGAGGGTGGCAGAAGTGTGTGTGCACATGTGCATGTGGATCTATGTGTGTGCAAATCTCTGGGTAAGTGGGTGTGGATGGGGGTGTTTGCGTCAATGAGTGTCTGTCAGCACATGGGTGTCCCTGTGGGAAGAGGCTATCTAGCCCGTGTGGCCACCTCAGGAGTGCATGAAGGAGGAGCCTTTGGGGCAAGGGCTGGCCTGCTTAGCTCCAGAGCCAGCCAGGTGCTTGGTGGTCCTGGGTGATAAGGTGAAAGTATCTGAATTTCTGGAAGGAGAGCTTTCTGTGCTGGGGGAGGCTCTAGACTCTGGGGCTCCCAAACCTCGTTGGCAAAGGTCGAGAATACCTACTTTATAATGAGATAAAGGCTGGTTTTCATTTATCTCTATTAAAGGCATTTACTAATGATTTATCAATTTAAAGGAATAGAAAAGAAAATCACCCCCCCCCACCAAAATCTCATGTCACTGTGATTCATCTGCTATTTAAGGTTTAGGATATCCTGAGCAAGACCTGTGGTTTAAAAAAATGCAGAATGAATTTTTCAACACCAAAGAATCAATAAACTCCACTTGGGTTGAGACACCAAGCAGCATGGGTGAAGAACTCCATAGGCCAGAGATGTCTAAGGAGTGCTGTGTGTGCACGCGTGTGCATTGCGTGTTTTATATATGTGTACCCTTGGACGTGTCCCCCCACCCCCATGCCTGGGCCTCACTTCCTGCATTTGTGAAACCATGGGGAGGACTAACGGGCTCTGGTTTCTGGTGGGTGCTGTACTCGGCTGTTGGAGCTCCAGTGAGTTTTTCCTCCTCCTCCCTCTCCCCTGGAAGTTCGCCCTCTGGCCTCTCAGGCTGGCCTCTCACCCACGGTCCCCCCTACCCCTGTGCAGTCCTCAGTCCTTCCTGCTGCCACACAGAGTTCTAGGCTCTCATCAAAGTCCTCTGTCATGTGCTCAGCTATCTCTGGCCCTGGGAGACATGTGAACTTGGGACAGTTCCTTCTACTCCCTGGACCTCAGGTAGGACTGTGAGGTTGCGAGAGTCCCCCCTGGCTTTGTCATCCTCCACCCGCGAGTGTCCTGCCCTGGTGAGCAGATGAGCGCGGGGATGTGCTCCAGGAACTGAGGTATGTACCAAGCTCTGCCAGGATTGGACACCACAGGGACAAGCGAGTCATCATCCTAGGGCCCAGTACCTGGCCCAGCAGGCAGTGGTCACTTTGGAAGCATGTGACGAGGCATCACCGAAGCAGCTGAACCTACTTTCTTGAAGCCTCCTGTCCCTGGCTCCACCTCTCACTTCCCCCTCCACCCACTGCACCCCTATTTAACCCTCAGAATGCTCTCTGTCTCTGTCACTCTTACACAGACATACACCCCTTGACTGCTCCACAGGATCACTTGGAGAGAATCTAGAAGTGACGGTGCCCAGACCTCCAGACTCAGTGCCCCCAGACCAAGTGAATTGGCATCTCTAAGCCTGCAGCCCCACCACCTGCATTTTTAACATATTTTTTTAAGTCATAGATAGGAGGCGATAGCTTTATCTTATTTATTTATTTTTATGTGGTGCTGAGGATCGAACCCCGTGCCTCACATGTGCTAGGCAGCGCTCTGCCACTCAGCCACAACCCCAGCTCCTGCCATTAGCATTTTAAAAGTCTTTCAACCAGTTCTAACGTTCAGTGAGAGCCGAGAACTTCCACCCTAGAGGCTGAAGACTCTCCAGGCACTCTTGACAGACTAAAGCTCGTAGAGAGCAATTCAAAGCTCTTCAGCTTTCATCTACTTCTGAGTTTCTTGCAAAACACACATTTCGAGACCTCCCCAGAGCTGCTGACTCTGGAGGTCTGGCCTGGACTTGGAAATCTGCATTGAAACCCAGCTCCCATTTCCCGGTTCCTGATGCAGCTGGGGCCTGGCTCTTCTTGAACAAAGCCCTGGGAGGCTTCGGGAGCAGGGCAGTGCAGGAGTGAGGGGGTCCCCAGTCCTACACATGCCACCAGGCTGCTTTAGAATAAATAGCAGCCACACAAGGAAACCCTGGCTTCCGCAGCACCTCTTGAACTCTCAGAAGCATTTTGAAAACCAATCTGAGGGCTGAGGGTGGAGCGTGAAGCCTGGGTTCCATCACCAGCACCACCAAATGGTGGGCGGGGGGGGGGATTCTGATACTGTTTCTTCATCCTTCAGTGGCTTCCTATTGTCCTGATGAAAAAGACCCTTGTCCCTAATGTGGTATGGGATGCCCTGCAGGTCCAGCCTAGCCTGGCCTCTCCCTGAGCCCTCTCCTGGTTATCAGGCCTCTGCAGGTGCCGAGCTCTCTCATGCCACCCTCCACATCTACCTGAGCTAAACTCCTGTTTACCTCTCACAGAAGCTCTGGTCCCTCACAGATCCAGGCCACCAGGACTCTCTCACACAGCTCTCAGGGGCCCAGGCATGAATACCCGGGTTATCACCAATTTACAGCCTCAAGGAGGGCAGCAACTGATTAGGTCTGACTCACCATTCAACACTGGAACTCTCATGTTGGCCTGGGGCCTGCTATGTAATCGGTGCTCAATAAAATATCTGCAGAGTGAAGAACTCAAACAACACAACACACACTTTCTCAGTTTCCATGATTCTTATGAGCAGGAAGGTGAATGTGTCATTGGGGATATGCAGAAAGTACAGAATGCCAGCCACGTCTGGGGTCCCCATTCATAGGACCAGCTGGTGGTGGTCACATGTATGCTGCTCTTGCTTTCTGGGAAGGAACATTTCTTCACCCTCCTGTCTCTTCTTCCTTGATCCCTAGCAGTGCCCAACACAGGGCAAGGCATGCCGCAGATGCTTCATAAAAATCTTGTTAGCTGAATAATTCTTGGTACTCAATAGTTCCCTTTCCCTGCTTGAAGCAGCGGCCTGAGGCTCAAGGGGCCTGGTCCACCCCAGCCCTGTGCACATGCCCCTCCTAGTTCCTGTGACCTTGAACAAGTGCACCCCCAGGGGGGCTTCTGTCCCTTCCAGGTTACCATGCTGTGGTTGAGAGGACTGTGCCTGAGGTTGGTGAGGTCCTGGCTGGGTTCCCAAGGAGGCTGGTGCTGACCGAGGTGCAGACCGGCTGAGATCACCCATCCGGTGGGCTTTGGGCCTGCAGAAGGGAGGGCACTGTGCATCCCCTACCTGCCGATAACAGAAAGCCGCTCCTTCGATTGAGCTGTTTCCTTCTTTTGCCCTAAGCTATGAGGAGTAGATTGGATGAAAATTATCAAGCCTCCTCGTCTAGAATAAATATTCTTGAAATGGAGCAAGTTATAAATAAGCAAGCAGCAATATCCTGTGTTATGAATATATAATTTCCATCTTTAATAGCTGACTAGGCCCCAGGGACTGTCTGAAAATGGCCTGTCTGGCCCTGATGTTTTATATTAAAAAATAAAAAAAGGCTCTCAAACTTTTGTTTCTTAGCCCTTGGACAGTGAAGTCTCTGGAGGAAATAATGAGAGTGGAGAGTCTCAGTGAGCCCACGTACCAAGGGCAGGTACTTTTTATTTTCAAAAAACTCCAGAGATTACAAAAGCAGCAGAGAGTCAAGCCTGGGAAGGGCAGCAGAGCTTGTCTTCTCCAACTCCCTCATTCTATAGATTAGGCAGCGGAAGCCCAGAAAGGTGAAGCAACTGGCCCAAAGTCACACAGCAATAGAAGCCCGTCAGATTCTCCAGGTTGTTGGCTGGTTCTATTCTGCAAATGGCTGCCCTCAAAGGTGAGGGAGACAACCTGGGACTCCAGGTTCTGCAGTCCACAGAATCTTGCCAGGGGGACTCACAAGGACATTTGCCTCCAGGGGAGGCCCCAGCCCAGCTCAAAGGCAAGACTGAGGTCTGGGGAGCACTGAGGGTGCTGGACCAGATCTGCATCCCAGCCCAGCTCCAGGAATGTCAGATACCCGCCTCGCTGCTTCTGCCACCCAGTCCTCAAAGGGTGGTATAGATGGTCACGGCTCCTTCTTCTGCCACGCAGCCTGGGGTCATGAAGACCTGGCCATGGGCTCCTGCGATGCCCAGCTCTGATGCTGGACAAGCTGCCTGGCTCCTCTTAGTTGTCCCTGTCAATCAAACGGGCATGGGGACAGCTGAGAGGACTGAATGAGATACTGTACATAAAGCACCCAGGAGAAGACAGGCAGGCTCCAAGTACGGTGAACCCCACCACCTTCCAGGGCCACAGGCTCTTCTGCCCCAGTCCACAGTGCCACGGCTGTCACTGTCCCTCCCTGAGCCCCGGCTTGGCTGAGTCCGGTGATTTCATGTGTATTCATCTCTTATCCTTCTCCAGGGCCCCACATTCCCTCTCTCTTCCCGCTCCCCCCCCCCAGCAGTAACCAATATAGGACTGGCTACACGTGTTCACTCAAGCACCTACAAAGCACCAAGCACCAGGTCTAACAGTGGCTGGTTACTGAGCCTCGACTGTGCGTTACATTCAGCAATGCCTTGACTCTTTCCCCTTAGCATAACACGACAAGATGGGCACTGTCATCCCAGTGTTAAGGATGACCAAAATGGGGTTGCCAAGGTGATTAAGTAACCTGTCCAAAGTAACAGATTCCTGCCTCGCATCACCTTCCTCAGGATGACCTGCTTTCTCTAGGATCACAGTAAAGCTGGAAAACAAACGAATTCAGTGGCCCCCAATGATGGGCGCAGGGTGGGTGGGGGAGGTGCTGACGCCTGTGCGGTGTGCA